ACCGGCGGCAAGGCCCCGCGCAAGCAGCTGGCCACCAAGGCCGCCCGCAAGAGCGCGCCGGCCACCGGCGGCGTGAAGAAGCCGCACCGCTACCGGCCCGGCACCGTGGCGCTGCGCGAGATCCGGCGCTACCAGAAGTCCACCGAGCTGCTGATCCGCAAGCTGCCGTTCCAGCGCCTGGTGCGCGAGATCGCGCAGGACTTCAAGACCGACCTGCGCTTCCAGAGCTCGGCCGTGATGGCGCTGCAGGAGGCCAGCGAGGCCTACCTGGTGGGGCTGTTCGAGGACACCAACCTGTGCGCCATCCACGCCAAGCGCGTCACCATCATGCCCAAGGACATCCAGCTGGCGCGCCGCATCCGCGGGGAGAGGGCGTGATTGCTTTCGCAGTTTTTACCGCTTCTTTCCCAAAGGCTCTTTTCAGAGCCACTCACATGTGCGCTAAAAGAACTGCTCTCTAGGAATTGTGTATTTCGTGTGGTGTTTATTTCCTGGTGGGATTACAATACTTGTTTGGTGGAAGTCATTAATTAATTGGGCCTCCTAACGTGTCATAGTTTTGCGGTAATACTTTCCCCGAAGCAAGTGCAAACCGGGAAATGGGGCATCTGCCTGAGTCTTCCCCAAGTTCCTCAGGTTTCTCTTAAGTGTGGGAGGTATTTCAGGTTGAGGACTGGGCCTGCTTAATTGGCTAAGAATGTCTGATTGGCAATTTAGAGCCAAAGCCATTTGAGGGTGTGCGCCTGTGCTTCTGGTTTAGTATGTAGGGCTATCTAATGCGTAGGGCTATCTAATTGGTTCTAGGTGTGTCCGAAGTTAAGCCAATTTAGAGAAGTGTAAGGAATCAAGCTTTTTTTTTTTCTAAATCTTCCCCTTAGGGTGTTGCCTGAGTAAAAACTCCATAATCCCCACTTTTTCCACTCAAATTACCAAGTAGTCATTTGTCTGATTCATTTACTTATTCTAATTTTCAGATTTATGAAAGGAACTTTGTTCACTTGTGCACTAGAAATGTAGTCAGTATTCCCTGGAAGAGTGCTTGGGCCAACAGCAGAGAAAGCCCAATAAGCTAGGGTGCTGTCACAAGGCATCACCCTCCCCTTGCATTCTGACTTGAAGTGTCCTTAATATGGTCTATGACCTGTCTTCCTTTCTCATCAAAGCATTTAGCTTTTCCTGACTAACTGGTCTTTGCTTGCTGTCAAACCTCAACTTGTCAGCATTTCAGTAGAAAGAATTTTACATTAAATTTACATCAGAATTTTTACATTAAATTTATTTATAGTATTTTTTTTTTTTTTTTGGTCTTTTTGAGACAGGGTCTCTGTAGCCCCAGCTGTCCTGGAACACACTATGTAAACCAGGCTGGCCTTGAACTCACAGAGATCTGCTTGCCTCTGGATTAAAGGCATGTACCAGCCTATTTATAGTATTTTTGAGACAGGGATTCCCCTTAGCCCCAGCTGGCCTGGAACTCACAGAGATTTTCATGCTTCTGCCTCCCTAGTGTTGGGATTAAAATTATTTTAAAATTTTGAACCCATTTCTCAAAAAAAATATTGACAGGGTCTCATGGCGCTCCAGCTGGCCTTAGAATCCTGCTCTTCCCATTTCTATCTCCCATGTACTGGGATTAAGGCATGTACCACCAGCCCTGATTTACTAATTCTTAAAACTAGTTTGAGAGCTGGGGGTGGTGGCCCAGTCTTTTAATGCTAGCACTAGGGAAACAGAGGCAGGGTGCTCTCTGAGTTTGAAGTCAGCCTGATTTACATAGGGAGTTCCATGCCACCAGAGCTACATAGTAAGATACCATCTCAAAACAAAACAACACAAAACAAAACAATATAAAAGCTGGCAGATCTCTGCGAGACTGTGGCCAGCCTGGTCTCCATAGTGAGTTTCACACCCGATCTCTAAAAGATAAAAACAAAATACCCTTGTCTTTTACTTGGGAGATTTATATATGTTACTCAGTTATCACAACTGATAGTTTTAAAATATTTATTCTGTGTATGAACCATGTACAGACTTGAAGTTCAGAGGACACTGTGGGAGTCTTCTTTGCCACCATGTCAGTTCTGAGGATTGAACTCAGATCTTCAGCCTTGGCAGCAAGAGCCTTTACCCTCTGAGTCACTGCTAGGTCACTATGATTATGTTATTTGTTTAATTACAAGTATATGCATGTGAGTGCCGGTGCCCTCACAGACAGAAAGTCAGATTCTTTGGCTATGGAGTTACAGGCAGTTGTGAGCTGCCATGTGAGTGCTTGAACCAAACTCCTGTCCTCTGGAAGAGTAGTACCTGCTGATGAAGGCTGAGCCATCTTTCCAGCCCTTGCCCCTATTCCTCCAAATATGCATTCTTTTTTTTTTTTCTTTTCTTTTTTTTTTTTTTTTTTTTTTTAACATAATGTGTAGCCCATACTTTCCTGAAACTTCGTATGTAGAACAGGTTCATCTTGAATTTGCAGCAATCCTTTGGCCTCTGCCTCCTGAGTGCTGGTATTACAAGGGTGTACTACCATGCCAGCCCAAATGATTCTTATTTTATTTTTTAAAAATATTTTATTTATTATTTTTATGTGTTTGTGTATATTGCCTATATGTAGGTAAGTGCACCCATGTTGTACAGTGCCCAC